TTTAATAGATTAAAAAGTGTTTGAGAATATTCAGTATTTTTTCATTATAAAAATGCCCAGTGAGTTGCCTGAATACTATAAAAATGATATATAACTTATTTACACTAAATGGAAAGGTAGATAGCCTTTACTCCAGAATCAGAAGAAAAATGTCCAGGCTCATCACTTCTACTCAGCATAGTCCTAATTAGAGTAATTGTGTAACAAAAAGAACTCAAAGGTTTCCAAACTAGAAATGAAGAAATTATATTGTGCCTCTTTGCATTTGGTCTGAAGACCAAATGATGCCACCCAACCTTGTGACAATAAACTAATGCAAGAAAGCTAAAGTATGTAAATTTAGCGTACATACGTGATATTGCTATACATTGAAAACTCTCTGAAAAATGAATCAAGAAACCTATGTACAATAGCTACAGATATTTCAAATAATAATAAAATTAAGTTCAGAACAGTGTCTTCTAGACATGAACTCACAGCAGCTTTGATTTCCTGCACAAGTTCAAACTAGTCAACAGTCCAGCATGAATGGGAGAAAAGCTCATGAGGAAGTATTGACCATTGATAGCTAATAGGAGAGTAGAAGTCAGTTGTTCAAAATATTACAAGAAATTGAAGAGGGCAAAATACTTTTAAGAGTTTTATGAGATCAACTGACTGTGGAATACCCAGCCATGCCCCATACTCATGCACCATAGACATCACTACTTAGATTCTGTATGTATTTCAAAAATAAGGGAAAGGCTGAAAAGATAGCTCATAAATTAAAGGCACTTATTGCTCTTCTAGAGAACTCAGTTTTGATCCTCAGCATTCACAAAATGGCTAACAATTATCTGTAACTCCAGTTCCAGGAGATTTGACAACCTCTCTGACCTCCAAAGGCTTACTTGCACACAGTGTATAGACATACATACAGGCAAATAGTGTTGGGGAAACTAGAAATCTATCCCTAAAAGATTGAACTCTAAGCTTGGATTCTATGCTTAGACTTTATGGAATAATAAATGCAAAACCTATTAAAGATTTAATATAAACCCTATAATTACAAAACTACAAGGAGAAAACAAAGGAAAACTTGATGACATAGGACCTATTGATGGACAGAGTACCAGGTGTCTACATTCAAAACAACTGGACAAAGCAGCCTTACGGACTACAGCCAGGATTTCTGCATCTTCTTAGAATCCCCCATGACAGCGCCCCTTACCAGCAGGAAGTAGTTTGGAAAGAAAGATGCTCAAATTCCCACATATTGTCTATAAATGTTTGTTATCATTTAAATGGACTTGGTTATATAAAATATATATGTATATATGCATATATATATATACATATATAGCTAATGTGCATGTGAAAGGTGCTTGATAATGTAGTTCCTTGTTGGCAAAATTACAGGTATAATAAAATATGGTCTGCTTTGTGGGTATAATCCAAAAAAAAAAAAGTGAAGATGTAGCAAACAAGGGACCACCTTATAACAGGGTAAGTAGAGATGCCAATTAGTAAAGTTACTAATAATAGGGGTATTCCTCAAAAATATAAACATGGAACTGCCATGTGGTCCATCAGTCCCAAAGGAAATGAAGTCTGTATATTGAAGAAATCTGTACTACCATGCCTATTACAGCTTCATTCACACTAGCCAAGATGTCAAATCATTCCAAATGTCCATCAACAGATAATTAATAAATGAATAAAATGTGGTGTGCACAATGAAACACAAGTCAAGTATAAACACTTGGAAAGTCATTTGTAACATGATTGATCTTGAAGGATTTTAATACATGACATACTCCCAACACAGAAATAAGCATCACAAGATCTCACTCATGTGTGGAATCTAAAGAATGGCAGGAACCTGGGAGGTTAGGGAGAGGAGCTTGAGGAAATACTGTTCAAATGATTCAAAATTTCGGTTAACTAGGAACATCCCAGAAATCTTCAACAGGGTACAACATGACTACTAAGACATCGTGAACTTAAGAAAAGCTAAGTTGATGCTAAATACTTGCACCCCCAAAGTGGTGACTATGTTTGGTAAGATACATGTTAACTACCTGGCTAGAGTCACACAATGTCTAATATAAATGCACTTTAGAGCATCATGCTGAAATTAAAAATGCATATAATTTTATCATTTAAAAGTAGTTTCAATTTTGTGAATAATGCATCAAGAATGGTAATATACAAAAATAATCACCATGTTTCAGTATAGTTTACATATTTGCATTTGAGTTTTGTATGTGAAAGGTGACTAATCACATATGGCAGCTGCCCTCATGACTTAAAGTATGCTTACTACTGTGTCAAAGGTCATGAGTCACTTAGGATTGTGGCTAGCATGGCTGGGAGATGAAAATGCACTAACAAAATTTATCTACAGTTCATTCTTGCCAGAGCCAATTTGGCCTTTACCACTTCTCAATGGAGGACACTCTGATTTACCATGATTGATGTGTGTTTTGTTAGCCAACAAGCATAGAAGTCTAAATAAGTAGGGCAGCCAAAACTGAACACATGGAAACTCCCAAGTGCCCCAGCTGCTCTTTGTATAGATGATGGATTGAGGCAGGGTGGTCCAACAGAAGTACAGATAGAGGGGCCAAGGCCCTGCCAAAGCCAGAGCCATAAATCTTCCATTATGAGCAAAATGGCTTCAACTGTGGGCTGCAAGTTTGTCAGAAGGCAGAGCCATCCTTTACCTTCACAGCCCTGCAGACTCATCACCCCTACAAAAACAGAAGACCCAAACAACAGAGAAATAGTAAAATACATGTATGGTTAGGAAGATGACTGTCATAAAGCCCATTCAATGTGAAAGGAACTGGATTGCTCATCAGCAACTTGATATCCATCAAAGTTTTACAAAAAGTCAGGTATATGTCACTCTATTTTGACTATAAAATGACCCTTTGACCCTGTCTTCTCTCCATCTTCCTTCTTTTAGTACTTATGCATTTAGTATATTCCAGGCATTTCTGGTATCTAGATATAAATATTCAATTCATGTTTTCTCTTTTTAATGACTTTTATTGATCATATAAAATAATGGGCTTCATTATAAATATACAGATTAAAATATACCCTTGTTCTACTTTTTCTCTTTTATGTTCCATACCTCCTTTGTGATTTGAATGTTGGTAGCAATATTATTTTTGGATCAGCTTCACTTTCTTAAATTTTTTTCAATTCCTTGTATTTAGTGTGTGTGTGTGTGTGTGTGTGTGTGTGTGTGTGTGTGTGTGTGTCTGTGTGTCTGGTGTGTCTGTCTGTGTTTCTGTGTGTCTGTGTCTGTGTATGTCTGCACATGCACATACCACAATACATGCATGAAAAATTCAGAAGCCAATTGTGAGAATCAGTTCTTTCCTTCCATTACCTAAGTCCCAGGGACTGAGCTCAGGTCATTAGGCTTGAGGGATGCAATTATTTTAAGCAATTTAGGCCAGACTCAGAAAGACATAGTTCACGTTTTATTCTCATTTGTGGGTCTAAAATTATTCTCAATGCTAAACCACTCTTGCAGAGTACCTGGATTTGATTACCAGCACTCACGTGGTGGCTCACAACCATCCCAAACTCCAGTTCCAGGGTATATGATGCCCTCTTCTGACCTCCACAGGCACCAGGCAAGCATGTGGTACACATACATATGTAGGTGAAGCATTCATACACATAAATACATCAAAAATAATATAATGCATAGGGATTCTTAAAACACTGATAAAAATTTTCCAAACTTGCAGGTTATATTAAGGCAAAGACAAGCACCTTTAAAGCATGATTTTTCTGGAGATTAATTGGAAACAATTATAAAAGGTCACAAATCTGTATAGTATATTGGTTACTGTAGGGTTTGAGTCTAGTTGACCTGGACTCAGTACCCCCATGTGCTGCTTGTGTGCCTTAGAGAACCTCCTTGGCTCTCTAGGAAGGAAAATGTGTACATACCTAGGCTGAGGAACTCCTGAGCATGTTAAGATGCTGAAGTACCTTATGCCTAGTATTTAATGGATGGCAGCAATTGTTAACTTTTACTCTTTGTTGGTAACTTCCATTCTCAGTTGTTTATTTTGACCATGCTTATTCCTTATTTTAAATTTCAATCTTCCATGCTTGGTGCTAGCAGGATAATTTTTAAATGTCAGTGTAGACACCAATATCAAAGAGCTTACAATCTTTGTGTCCTAGTTAGGATTTCTATTTCTGTGAAGAGATACTATGACCATGACAACTCTTATAAAAGAAATAAGTTGATTGGGGTGGCTTTCAGTTCAGAGGTGTAGTTTATTATCATCATGGCACAGTGAAACATAGCAGCATACAGGCAGACATGGTGCTAGAGAAGGAGCTGAGAATTCTAGATCTTGACCTTCAAACAACAGGAATTGAACTGAGACACTGATCATAGCGTGAACATAGTCCACCCCCACAGTGACACACTTCCTCGTACAAGCCACACCTCCTAATGGTGCCACTCCCTATGAACTTCTGGGAGCCAATTATATTCAAACTACCATAGTAATACCATGTAGGTGTATAATGATTTAAAGGGCACTAACTCAAGAAACAAGAGAGGGATGTAGTAATAAAAAAGTAACACTCAAACCACTTTAGTGTAGGAGAAACCCACCTCAGGCAAAGATGATCAAATAAGTATTTACAGTGAAAATAATAATGTATTGTGAGATGTAAAAGTATACTTTCTCGGACCATTAGCCATCTGAATTATTCTTCATTGTTACAACTTCCAAAATAAGTAAAAATTTTAATCCTGCCACAAGCTTTATCCTAAACTCTGCTACACACTGTTATTTTAATTTATGTTTTATATGACCTTATAATTTAATATTTCCTTGGATTGTATCTTAAATAAACAAATATTGGCTTCTGCAACCCTTTTGAAGAATTAAATACAAGACACTCTCTAGCCCACCATCTCCCCAACTGACAAGCAATTCTCCTGCTTGACATTTCTTTAATATTCCTTCCCCCAGATTTTTATTGGTGAAATATCCATGTATTTCATAAAGTCAACAAGGGAATCTCTGATTGCTGAGGAGAAAACAATCCTAACAGGGGAATGCTGTTATCTGAATCCCTTACTTCGAAGGATCATCAGATTCATAGGTAAGTACCACAGCCTGGTGAACCGAGCATCAATGGATCAATAAATCATAATAAATTTGGAGGATGTATTTTATCAAATAAGCTAAGATACAGCCGTATCAGCATTAAAATCAAGGGGTGCTTGGGGATTTTCCACAAATAGAAAAGAAAAACCTAATTCTGGTGCCATGTCAAATATTTGGTTCTTGAAATCAGGTGGCATTTATTAAATTGTTGAAAGAAATGATTTCAACTAATTTCTCCAAGCCCAACATTTCTCTTGCTATTATCCCTGAACATAAGTTTTAACATTGATTAGGTATTGACATATGTTAAAGGGTAAGGGTCAGGTAAAGATTGGGGGACAAATGGGAACATCAACTAAATGAAATAGTTGAATTTCCTGGAAGAGTTTTCTGGCCTATAGATCTGGCAGGTTCTTGAAAAATAAATGCCTTTCCAAACTTAGAAAAGAACTGTTTACTTTAGTGTTCTTGATAAGGAATAATGAAGGTATGATTAATGTCCTTTCTAAAAATACCTAGAGTTCTATAGATGATGATTACATTATGGGAATGTGTATATTGATGCAGACAGAAACATAAATCTTTCAGAATTCCTATGTTATAAGTACTCAATAAATGGTTATTAGGTAGGTAGTGTAACAAGACCTTGCAAACATCTGCTGACAAGATCTTCATAGGCGCCCCAATAAAATTTCCAACTATGAACATGGCTGTTACTAAAACAAGATATGGTATTAATTAGAGAACTGAGAACCAGGTATGTCATATCTTGTTCCTTTTGATAAATAATACCTTTTATCCTCTTATACTAAAGGGTTTAAGTTACAAAGAATTCATCTTTTCAAAGTCAAACATGCTATAATATCTCTGATTGATTGAGAATAAAAAAAAATGTGCTAGAGCAGGAAGCCTAAGAAAATTTTATGTAAATGTAGCAAATCAAAAATTAACATCTCAATACTCTTGGAAATTTATGAATGTCTGCAAAATTAAAGTTTTAGTAGACTGCAAAAGACTACAGTTGGATAACATACTACTGTCCGATTCAATTGTTCCAAACAATGGTTCTTTTCAAACATGTCTAGAGTTAAACCAGTTCCCACTAGCTACCAAATCATGGGAAAAGAGGAAATAAGATAATATTTATCACACTGAATACTGAACTAGATAGTTTTAAAATTACTTCATTTAATCTGCCAAATGTTACATAAAATGTTTTATTGTTTAAAGTATAAAGACTAACAGAACACAGAATCGAGATATAATTTGATTCAAGCTTGTGCAATCCTTTCATATGATCTACCTTCTGTGAATATAATTAATAAGTTATTCAGTGAAAAACACCATTATGCTCCAATTAACTGTAAACATCTTTAAAAGTCACTATTACTGTTCTTTTGCAGAGAGAAGCTATATCTATCTGGGCCTCACCCTACCTGGGTCAAGGTACAAAGAACAGAAATTTTAGCTAGTGTTTGTCCCTTATGGGGACTCTGTGGCTTACATAAGTGCTTAGAAAGAGATGCCAGAAAATCCCTAACTCCAAGGATAAACCCTCCACATGGCAATCTGTGGCCCATGAAATTACCACTTAAGACACAACACTAGGCTAAGGCACTGTTTCAAGATCAATGCAGGACCATCAGGCTCCCACTAATAAGTGATGACACATTTGTCCATTTGAATCTTGTGTGCAAGGGGAATATGGTAAAGAAAGTACCAATATGACCACTCCATGATATGGTTAAGAGGAAGATGTTTTGTTGTAGATATGAGAACGAGAACAGCTGGAGGCATCTGGGAGAGTTCAGAGCAGAGAGTGAAAGAAGTAGAGTGAAAATTGCCAGCAAACTAGACCCAGCCAAGACCATCTATGAGAAAGGGGAGACTAGCAGGTGACAGAGAATAAAGAAAACCTAGTAAGAATAGTGCAGTTATAAGGAGGGTGAATAGTTGCAGAAGGAAAGGAGGCTGGAATGGGGGTTTTGAAATGGATAGCAAGTATGTGTGGTACTGAGGGAGCTTGGAGGCCAGCAACCACAGTTATATGAAATTGGAGACCCATATGTTTCCTCTGCCAAAGGTAAGGGAAATGATTCCTTTTGGCAGATGTGAGCTGGTTTCACAAGTTCCTAATAAATGCTGACTTTTATCTAATCACCAGTAATCCTCCTATAGTGCATGCTGAGCTTATTTCTGGATATTTGGGCTGCCTTTTAGAGTTTGGGGAATTGGGGTTTCCTTTGGACCTGACAAATTTGTAAGCTAATAGAGATCTGGATGCTAAAAGCAGGGATGTTCAAATCCATCATCTTGAGTTCAACATCATAATATAGCCAATGGGTACCATGTAAAGCTTGAGAAATTGGTAGAAGTTGCAATGAAAGGCAGATGGTTATAGAGTCACAAGAGGATTTGCTTCATATGTTCCTTGTTTTATGATACAAGGATCCACCCAGTTACTCAAGCAGAAAACCTGGGAGATTCTAACCATCTGGGAACTTGTTAGCAATGCAGAACTGTGGAACCAGTCCTGTACCTACTCAACCAGAAACGCTGAGGATTTAGCCTGATGATAAGTGTCAAAATTTGAAAACCTCTGACTTAGACAATTAAAATTCTCTTGCCCTTTTAACGAATTCCCCAGATGTTGCCTTTCAATTCACCCTCTCATCTTTACAAGGATACTATTTATTGCTCATCTGGCAGTCACTGGTGTGTGTGTGTGTGTGTGTGTGTGTGTGTGTGTGTGTGTGTGTGTATGAGTGCACACACACATGCTTGGTGTACCTACACATTCATGTGTGCACCCATATACCCGTACACTTGTGGATACTGGACAAGGATGTAGGTTGTCCTTTCCTATAACTCTCCACTTTACTCATTTGTGACTGGGTTGCTCTGAACCTAGAGCTAGGCTGACAGCCTCAAAATCCCAGTGAACCTGTGTCTCCACACCCTACATTGCTGGGGTTTACAGGCACATGCAGCCACACCCAGTTTTTTTTACATGGGTGCTGGGTAGTCACACTGAAGTGCTTATGTTCACATTACATGCACTCTTACTCATTGAACCATCACTCCAAACTATTCCCTTGTGTTCTTTGCATATTCTGCCTAACCCTTCATGATCTGAGACCTTCTTCTGTCTCCAGTATCATGACTCATTAAATTGCTTTACTGGCTGTCAGAAAGACTATAGGATTCCTATCTTGATTCTTGTTCATGTTATGTTCCTACTGTCTTGAGTATTCCTTTATTATTTAGCCACGTTTTGCAGGATCTGTTTAAACATTACCTGTTTATAACCAAACAACCAGCTACCTTGTCTTTCAGACCCCCCACTGAACCTTGTACTTTCATCTTTTATGTGCACTTAACATATTGGAACAGTTGCTTAAGTCTGTTACTCTTAATAATTTCTGAACCTTGGAGAGTAGGAACTTTATCTGAACAGCATATTGCAAACAGTGTGTCTCAGACATAGACTCTGAATGAATTTAGGGCTTGGGAGATCTTTATAAATTATGTTTGTTTGTTTGTTTGTTTGTTTTGATAAATGGAGATCAAAGATAAAACTTGTTAAATAATAAATTTCCCTAAAACTAACTTCACAAAGGCTGATTCTTACATCTTCATTTGTCTCCAACTTGGTTCTAGAACTTTAATGTACACACATAAGGCTGTTCGGAAGAGAGCTCATGAAAAGTACAGCCTGACTAGTCATATAACAGTGTTAGACCAAGGAGAGGGCCGTAGTCTGTTTATCCAGGAAAAGTTAATTTCTGAGTATCTAGATTATTTTGTTTATAAAAGGGAAAAACTGTATTCATTGAAATAAAATCTTTTAAATGGAAATATTTCCTTTGACAAAAATTAAAGTAAAATAAGGAAGTTATCAAACTCTATTAGAAGCATTACTGTAAGGAGCTTAATAGTCTGTTTTTCTATACCAGTAGTCACCAAAATACATACTCTGCAATCGGCATGACAACTGTTTTAAATGACTGGTCTAATTAAGTCTAAATGGTATGATTTCCCTTTGCAATTTATGTAATTGTTTTCAAAGCCATTATAAATAGTATTTCTTAGGAAATACAATCAGCTTTGTGTTAGAAAAAAAGCCAATGGATTAGCAAATTATTTTAAGGAAATGTGCTTCATACTAGGAGGATCAGAAAAAAGCATTTTTCTGGCAGGAGTAAGTGAATATGTCCTTCCTGCATTACAATTGTATAGTATATGTCAAAAGCCATAAAAATAAATATCCTTTTAAACCCCACATTCCATGTTGAATCATATTTTAACAAGAAGAAATGTAGATTAATTTTATGGACTAAATTACTTTCCATAATATAAATTAAAATGCCAAGACAATAACAATGGGACTAGAAAAATGGTTCAGCAGCTAAGAGCACATACTGCTTATGCAGAGAAGTTTGTTCTCCAGCACATCAATGAGGTGGTTCACAACAGCCTCGAACTTCAGTTCTACAGGATCCAACACCTCTGGCTTCCACAAGCATCTGTACTCACATTTACACACTCACACACATACCCATAATTAAAAATATTTTTGAAAAAATACAACAGTGTTGAAACTTTCATTATAACCTCAGAAATGGAGGAAACTATTTATGATATAATGCTATGCAAAATATTAAAATAATCTCTATCTCTATCTCTATCTCTATCTCTATAGATATATGCAGGGTAGGATAGAGCATGATAAATAAAAGATCCAGAAGCAGTTATTGGGGTTAAAACTTCAAGCTGAAGATCCAAGAAGCAAAGCAGCCAAGCCAGTGGATCTTACCTCTCCCCAGCAATCCTGTCTCCACAAATTCTCAGAGGCAAATGGTTGTTAATTCCTATCTCCTCCTCCTTTTATTCCTTTCTGGGACTAGCCATATCCTCCTGTCTCCACCTCCCTAGTGCTGGGATTAAAGGCCTTTAATCCCAGATGCTAAGGTCACCTTTGTATGAACTGTTTCT